TTGATTCAACCAAGGAGGTAAGAGGAAGGGCAGTAAGAACACCTATATCTTGGGTTGAAAAACTGGCAATCTAATACATCTAGTTATTCAGTTTCCTGTTGGGATGCAGATCGTGTGCCTACTATGGCTGTAGCAGTACATTACTTAGTAGAGATATTTAGTGTTAGATTGGGCTGGCTCCTTGTTGCTACCAGTAAAGTACTGTAAAAGGTGCCTAGCCGGTTTGGCTCAGTGGATGGAGCGTCGGCCTGCGGACTGAAAGGTCCCAGGTTCGATTCCGGTCAGGGGCATGTACCTTGGTTGCGGGCACATCCCCAGTGGGAGATGTGCAGGAGGCAGCTGGTCGATGTTTCTCTCTCATCGATGTTTCTAACTCTCTATCCCTCTCCCTTCCTCTCTGTAAAAAATCAATAAAATATATTTAAAAAAAAAAAAAGTACTGTAAAAGGAAAACTTATTCTCAAACTAGCCTACCCAAAGACAGAAAAGGAAGAAAACATAGCTTAGCTACAAGAAGCCCTTCCTGCCTATGATCAAAGTTGGCTGATAGTCTGGCCCTGGCGGGTATTGCTCAGTGGTTAGAGTGTTGGCCCTCGCACCAAAGTGTTGAGGGTTAGATTCCCGGTCAAGGGCACATACCTGGGTTGCAGGTTCGATCCCAGGCCTGGCTGGGGCGCGTGCAGGAGGCAACCAGTTGATGTGTCTCTCTCAGATAGATGTTTCTCTCTTTTTTCTCTCCTCTTCTTTTCCACTCTCTCTAAAAATCAGTGGAAAAAATATCCTCAGGTGAGGATTAACAAAACAAACAAACAAACAAAGATGGCTGATAGTCTGGAAACTGGCAGGATTAGAAAACCCTGGAAACTTCGCCTCTAGATATCTGTATAATAAAAGCCTAAGCGACTGTTCCGGTGGAACGACCGGTCGCTATGATGCGCACTGACCACCAGGGAGCAGACGCTCAATGCAGGAGATACCCTTTGGTGGTCAGTGCGCTCCCACAGAGGGAGCACCGCTCACCCAGAAGCCGGGCTCATGGCTGGCGAGCACAGCTGCCATGGCGGGAGCCTCTTGTGACTCCGCAGCCGCAGGACTGAGCAGCGGCAGCAGGCACAGCGGCCGGAATGAGCACGAGCAGCATGGCGCCCACCCTGATTTGGGCTCCTCCCTGGCTGCCTGCCACTTGGCGCACTGCTACATCCCCTGAGGGGTCCCGGACTGCGAGAAGGATATCCAACTGCCTGCGTAGGCCCGATCCCGGTGCCGTTCTCTGTAGAAGGAAGTCAGTCTGAACAACTCAGTGACTCAGGGAAGTGCAGGGAACTCAGGGTAAGGCTGCCTCCGTGCTTGACTCACCCACTCGATGGTGTTCACAGGACAGACCGTGGTGGCCCAGCCCGTGCACATGCAGCAGCTGCTGAAGCTCAGTCAGCAGGCCGTGCATCAGCAGGAGGCCACCCAGCCACAAGCTGGCAGTCGGACATTCCCCTGAGGGGTCCCAGACTGTGAGAGGGCACAGCCAGGCTGA